AGCATGTTCTTTCCTGTGGTGACCAGAGGAGGACCATCAAATCAATGTACTTCAGACGCTGAACCGGCCCACTGAGGACTCCTGCCCTGGATAGTCACGTCTGGTCACGAGGGCTTCACAGAAGCAAGGGAAACCATTATGTGTGTGAACTCATCGAACTGGGGTCGTTTATCACTTCCAGCAAAATCTGGCCTGTGCTGAGGGAGTCTGAGTGGCTCAAATGGTTAAGCATTTGACTCTTGATTTTGGCTCCGGTCATAATCTCAGGGTTTGTGAGATCGAGCCCCGCTTCAGGCTCTGCTTGGGATTCTCTCTCTCCTTCTCTCTCTCTCAATTCCTCCCCCATTCTCTCTCTCTCTCTTTCTCTACCTCTCAACATAAAAAAATACAAACATTGAAAACACTTTGGCCAGTGCTTAAGATAGATTACACCTCTTTCAGCGATTATTAACGGAGAATCACATCTATCATCTGGCACTTAAATTCTTTCTTCCGGTAAGCCTACATTCTTTTGCTTATGTTCTGATTCTTCTGGTTTCTCCTTCAGACACACTGGCCACCTCTCCATTCTTTGTCATCTTCCATCTCTCAAGTCAGCAAACTTTTCCAAGTCTAGGACCGCGTAGCAAGTAAAGGATCTCTGTTGCAATTATTCAACCACCGTTGTAACATGAAAGCTTCCATAGATAACACATAAATAAAGGAGGGTGCCTGAATTTAGTTTATTTACAAAGTCAGGTGGTGAGTTAGATTTGGTTCAAAGGCTGTATAGTTTGCCCTAAAGGGAGAGAGCAAACAAAGAAAAGTTAACCGAGGGGGAGAGAAAGAAAGAGAGGAAGAGAGAGAGCACTTTCAACACTGGGATGGGGCCAAGGGCATTCCCAAGGAGAAGGAGGGCCAAGGTATCTGTCAGGGATGCAGCCATACTGAAAGCCTAGGGGGAAGCCAGTCCAGACTGGGGCAGGAAGATATTACCCCACATGCGGATGCACTAGCCGAGCAAAGCCAGCTGATGAACTGATATGTTCGAACAAACTAAGGCAAAAGTTACATTTGGGGGCAGCGTTTAGGGATGAATTAAGGATGGAACCTAGACTAGAAAATAAATCTTTAAAACAAAGTAATTAATAACTTCACGGAAAATAAAAAGCTGTGCCACAAATGAAATGTAATCATTATAGACTACATGAGTGGGCTATGAAAAATATATGTACCTGGTCAGAAAGTATAAAATCTAAAAATTAATTCTATCGGTAACTCCATTTGACCACTGAGAGAATCAGGGTGAGGGACGCAGGAGCATGATGGGAAAGGGAGGATTCCTCCATCTTCCACAGGGCACGTTTCGTGGATAATACCTACCCCTGTCTAATAGAGAAATATCAGTATCACGGTAAATATGAAAAAGACTTCAAAATGGCTCCTAGGGGGACACCTGAGGGGCTTAGTCAGTTGAGCATCCAACTTTGGCTCAGGTCATGATCTCATGGTTCCGGAGTTCAAGCCTCGCATGAGGCTATCTGCTGTCAGCACTGAGCTCGCTTTGGATCCTCTGTCCCCCTCCCTGCCCCTCCCTTACCTGCACTCTCTCAAAAATAAATAAAACCTTTAATTAATTAATTAATTAATTAATTAAAAAGTAAAGTGCTCCCTAGGAAGAAAAGGATTGAGATGTAGATTGTTGGGGCAGGGATCTGCTGCAACATGAGTTTGTAACATACAATTTTTGGAGCCACAAGTTTAGAAGATATGTATGTGCATTCTTTGGATGAAATTTTAAAACAAAATAATGTTGCAACAGCCACTGTGCCCGTTTTCAATTCCTAGATTTAGAACTGCTGAGTCAAAGATGATATCTTTTTTTAAAATGGATTTTGATTAATCCGCCCACACTGTCTTTCAGAAAGGTGCTATCAATATGTTTGCCCAGCAGAAGATGCAATTGTCTTTTCCCTAAAATTCCCCCAGCCCTGGTTATCATCATTTCTCGTAACTTTCATCACTCTGAGAAGAGTAGTTTTGCACCTATTTTAATAATATCCACTTTGAATATATTTTCCTTAACATCGTTCATTTGAATGTCTTCTGTAGGAAAGTGCCTGCTCGTAATAACCTCACTCCCTTTTTCTATTGAAATATTCATTTTCTCTTATTATTTAAAAGACTTTTTTATATGAACTCGAGTAACCCTGTATCTGCCAATTAGGAAGGAAACCTTAACTCAGAGCTGTTGATTTGCCGTCACATCTTTGCCGTATCTTTTTATAATGTTCAAGTATTAACTTGTATATAGGATGACCTAACATTTTTCCCTAGATCATTTCTGGCATTGGGACCATGATTAGGAAGTTCTACTCTAGGGGCACCTGAGTGGCATAGTTGGTTAAGCATCCAACTCTTGGGTTCGGTTCAGGTCATGATCTCACGGTTTGGGGTTCAAGCCCTGCGTGGGGCTCCATGCTGACAGTGTGGAGCCTGCTTGGGATTCTCTCTCTCTCTCTCTCTCTCTCTCTCTGCTCCTCCTCTGCTCATCTCTCTGTCTCTCTGTCTCTCTCTCAAAAAATAAATTTTTAAAAAATATTTAAAAGAAGAAAGCTTCACTCTAAATGACATAACTTTTAATTTTATTACCTTTTAGATGTTTGCTGTATTGCTATTTGATGTCTATATATAGACATAGAATTATATATATATATATGTATATATAAAATTAAAAGTCAAGAAGCATGCTACTGTGGATGTTGATTACTAATGATGACAGACATTTACTGAGGAGATACCATGTAACAGGCACTTCTATAAATGGAAGGGCTTACTCATTTATTCCCAGAATAACCCAATCAGTGATTCATTGTTATCTATTTAAGAAAAGAAGAAACTGAGACTTTTAGAGCTTTAGAAGTTTCCTCAAAAACTTCCCCTGGGCACCGCGGACCCACGCTGACTTGACAGAGAACACTCAAAGCCACCTCCCAGCTGGAGGGACAGACATAGTGGCATGTGGTCAAACAGTGATCTTAGAGGACTGCAAGGAGGAGGCGTCCTTTCCCAGCAGTCAGCAGCGATCAGACAAAGGGGAAATCGATGTGGGAACCGATTGCTGCACGCCCTCATACAAGCGACACACATCTATGGCAGCCAGGGCCTGAGCCTCCTTCCTCCCCCTCAGAAGGGTGTCCCCCCCACCCCTGCATTTTGTCTGTAATTAGGTTAGGAGAGGAAACACTGAGCACAGCTGAAGGCCAGGAAACAAACCGCCAGGACCTTGCCTCTGCAAGTGTGTACGCTTTGGTTTCCTGCCCTGACCATGGGCCAGACTTCAGCAGAAAGTACCATCAGAAGTCAGGAAGCTGGTCTGGTTACATCTTCACGTGATCCCGTGACTCTGAATAGGTCAACTGACCCATCTGAGTCTCAGTTTCCCCATGTGGGGGGCAGGGGGAGAAAAAGCACACCTCCCTGCCAGGCTTACTGGGGAATTAGGAGAAAGCGCACACGAACACACTGGGTACACTAATGTGTGCATGTGGGTAGTGGGCGTCGTCCCGATCTGTCTTTCTGACACTCCAACCCCATTCTGCTTTTCCCTGGTCGTTTCTAGGAAAGAGCCAGGTCCCCTTCGTGCCCATCCTTCTTTTGCTGCCTTTTCAACCTTATCCTCAGGCTCTGCTCGCTCTCACTGCAGGAGCAGGGCTCTGCGCCCAGGCAGAGGGGGGAGCAGAAATGGAGGGGGTGGGGGGAAACAGGAGGCTTGGAAACAACACCCCAATAAGTTCAAATTCCCTCTTCGTTCTGAGCTCTGAGCCGAGCTCCGTGATGGCCGCCTGTGGAGTTACGTGTTAGCACAGGGCTGGGGGTCCTGATCTCGCTCCTCTCTTTCTCCTTCTTTCTCCCAACATCTGTCCATATGTTTTATATAAAACCTCTTTGTAAATTGCATCATTTTTTAAAGTTTATGTATTTATTTTGAGAGAAAGAAAGAGAGAGAGAAAGAGAGCATGGAAGGGACAAAAAGAGGAAGGGAGAGAGAACCCCAAGCAGGCTCCACACTATCAGCGCAGACCCTGACACAGGGCTCAAACTCACAAACCATGAGATCATGACCTGAGCCGAAATCAAGAGTCGGATGCTTAACCAACTGGGCCACCCAGGCGCCCTGCATCATTTTTAAAAAGCGGTACATTTCTCTAAAGAAAGATGGTGGAGTCCTGCATCTGTCTGTGTATCAATGAAACACTTAGCGCACTAGTGCCCACAGGCAGGAGGAGTCAAGGGTTTACAGGTGACTGGTGGTCCAAGCTCCTGTGCCCCATTCCCCAATGACCATCCCTCCCACCAGCCGGGCTCCTTTTGCCCCCAGCCCCACTCCCCTCCTTTGCCAGGGGCCCTCCCCATACTTTCTTACTAGGATTGACTCTCCAACCTCTTCCCCTCTCCCCTCCAGCACCCATGATGCCCCCCAGGGTGGAAACACATCAGTGACCCACCAGGAGGGACAGGGCATGAAGTTTCTGATGACCCCCAGGGCCAGTGGGGTTCAGTGGGGTCTTGCTCAGACCTCCGAGTGCCCCTAAGCTGGTCACCCACCTTCAGCGTGGCTTTCCCTGGAGAGCGGGGCAAAGCCAGTGTCCTGCAAAGAAGAGACAGTGCCCAGAGAGAGCAGAGCGGGCAGTCCTTTACGAGACCACAGCTTCCTCCTGGCTGTCCCAGCTCCTCCCCCAAGGGCAGGCCCAGAGCGGGAAGGGGCGGCAGGGCACGGAGGAGAGGAGCAGCCTCTATGGAGACCCAGGAGCTGTGCACCCGCAGGGCTGTTCCCTCCTGACCCAGATTCACACCTGCCACTGGAGGTCGCCGCTTATCTCTGCCTGCCGGGTCAGCCCTCCCTGGGTCTCCCACTCCCCGAGCTGGCCTTGGCCTTTCTCATTTTGTCTATCTCAGAGGTGCCGGAAGAGCTGAGCAGAATCGGACCGGCTCCAGGTTCCCTGTCCCCAGCACCCCCCATGTCCCCTGCCGCCAGCACCAGACAAAAGGGCCAGAGGGCCCAGGGAGCCCTGCTCCTGCCGCTGCTGCTGCTGCTGGTCCCAGGTGAGGAGGAAGGTGAGAGCATGGGCAGGAGCGGAGGGGTTGGTACAGGGCTGCTGGAGGGCCAGGCCTGGCGTGGCCCTGACCCACAGCCTCCTCTCCAGGCTCGTGGGCAGTACCAGAGGCACAGCAACTTCACCGAGTGGCGGGGCAGACGCTCTCTGTGAGATGCCAGTATCCCCCCAAGGGCTGGCCCTACGAGAGGAAAAGCTGGTGTAAGGAGCTATCGACGTTCAAGTGCACCAGGTTAGTCACCAGCTCCGGTCCCCGCAGGCTGGCTCAGGCCTCTCGGTTCTCAATCTGGGACAACCCTAATGCCGGCCTCTTCGTTGTCACCATGACGGGTCTGAAGGAGGAAGACTCAGGACACTACTGGTGTAGAATCTACCATGCGTCCAGCAACTCTGTCTCTAAGTCCATAAGGTTCTATCTGACGGTGGCTCCAGGTAAGCCTCTTCCCAGGGGTCCCCTGGCTCCCTTTTGGTGCCTCCTGGTTTCCTAGTCATGAAGCCAAGCTGCCCTCCCCCACATTCAGTTCTCCAGGGAATGCTGTTGGGATCAGGTGTCCCAGGAACTTGAACATGTACACACACACACACACACACACACACACACACACACACATCTCACTCACTGTCTTGATGATTTGCAAGCCTCCTCAAAGGTGCCCAAACAGTCATGTGAGCAGTCTGACCAGCCTGAGCTCATATGACCTGGCCACGAGGGAGCCCAGGACTGCCTGGCATTCGTAGAGAAGACACCAGTACCTGGCACATAGTAGGTGCTCAGTAAATGTGTGGCCTTGGCCACAAACCACTCCCCACCATGTTGGTATCATGTTGGTCTGTCCATTCCTCCTGGCCCAGATCAGCAGACAGCAAACTCGGGTTTGAAAGCTAAGGATGATTTTTAGATGGTTGGGGGGGGGGGGAGAAGTAAAAGAAAAATAATATTTTGTGTCACACAAAAATTATAGGAAATTCAAATGTCAGTGTCCATAAATAAAGGGGATTTTTGGAACATAGCCATGCTCATTTGTTTATATATGATTTAAGGCCATTTTCATGCTACAGAAGAAGTTCCAACAGAGACCATGTGGCCCACAAGCCTAAAGTACTCTCCGGCCCTTCACAAACAAGTTGGCCAGCATGAGTCTGAATCAGAGCTTCTCAAAGTATCTGCGGTTGCAATGGGCTGAATGTTTGTGTCCCCCACAAAGTCATGTGTTGAAATCCTAATCCATGATGTGATGGCATTTGGAGGTGGGGCCTCTGGGAGGTGATGAGGTCATGAGGGGGGGAGCCCTATGAGTAGAATTAGTGCCCTTACCAAAGGGATCTCCAGGGAGCTCACTCCTCCTCTTTCTGTAACATAAAATGACAGCCTGGAGCGGGAACTCCCTAGAACCCTGCCACGCTGGTACCCTGATCTCAGACTTACAGCTTCCAGGGTAAGAAATAAATTTCTGTTGTTTCCAAACCACCCAGGCTGTGGCACTTTGTTACAGTAGCCCAAGGAGACTAAGACAGTGCTGGGGGACCTTTCCCAAAAATCTCCAAGCCATCAATGACTATTTTTTGGCAAAATACAATAAAAATGAATTACTGGAAAAAGAAAATGAGAGACAAACACACACATACAAAGCACAAGCCCAAAATGCTGATTCAATTTTACAGACATAAAATTACTTTTCAACAAAGACAATCAGAACAAACATATGGAAGGAAAAGTTCAGTTATAAGAACGGTACCCATTGATTGTTGAAAGTACGCATGTAGGTGTTGGATGTAGTTAACCTTATAGCTGAGCAAAAACTTAGAAGTTAAATAGCAATGTCCCATAGTAAATGCCATCCACACTTTGAACAAACGCTCTGAATATCCACATTTAAGGATTTAAATGTGACAGATGAGGGGCACCTGGGTGGCTCAGTCAGTTAAGCGTCTGACTTCGGCTCAGGTCATGATCTCATGGTTCGTGAGTTCGAGCCTGTGTCGGGTGCTGTGCTGACAGCTCAGAGCCTGGAGCCCGCTTCAGATTCTGTGTCTCCTTCTCTGTCTGCCCTTTTCCTGCTCACTTTCTGTCTTTCAAAAATAAATAAACATTTAAAAAATTTTTTAAGTCACCTGTTTAAAAAAATGTGACAAATGAGCATTCTTCTAGCTTGTCATCTAATCTACATTAAGACACCATAACCCCTCTGAGAAAATATATTAAAAATTGTTTTAATGCTTTATTTTAATAACAGTCACAATAGAAAACTGGTCTCACAGAGCTATGTTGACAGGGATCTGAGAAGGAATTCTAAATCAATTTCTACAAGCCCAATATTTTTATTTTTAATGTTTACGAAAGGAAGTGAGTGATGCTATATTTTCAAAATGCATCCTCGATCCTTCATCAGCGGCTAGTTCCAAAATTATAGAGTTTGGTTTATATTTAAAATATCTTTTGATAAAAAAATGGGCTCTGGATCTATGCATTTCCTATCACATATCTTCTTCGGGCAGAAAATAAAATTCAAAACTTTCCATCAAACTATCCAGAGTTTTCTATGAGTACTTTTGCAGACATGCAATACCAAGGTCGCCTATTTGCTGATAATCGTTACTGAATTACGAACATGTCATAACAGTTTATAGAAACTACCATTCTAAGCCTCTAACATTTGTTTCTGTGCTTAGATTTTATTTGCCATTGGAAAATATGTTGCGTTCTCTCTTGGCATGGAATAGCCTCAAAGCTGTGATATAACCAAACCTGACCGTGTGATTCCCATCTTTAAAAAGTTAGTACTAACCTGGGTTTCTATCTTGCCAAGACAGTAGGAGGGAGTCCTTTTCGTAGATCAAACATTCTCAACAGAACCTTCACCCTCAGTGATCACTGTAACCTGGCACACAATAACAACTGTGAGAAGTTTCCACGTGATTACATAATACAGAGAACGATTTCAAATTCAACGCTTTCATCTTTATGTAATTCATGGTTTTTTACCATGTTGGTAAGCACACGTGCAGTTCAGCTGATATTTTTTCATAGCAAGAATTTGAAGGAGGTGGTGCCCTGGTTTACACTCTAGTACAAAGCTCCTTGATCTGAATGGCTGCTCCTGCATGTCTTTCTGTCATATAGCAGCTATCAGGACATATTCGGACAGGACACTGGAACCCCCAACCACTGGTTGATAATAAAACCCTTCAGTTCTATTCAGTTCAGGGCTAGTTGTGTTTTTGGCAATGAAGCGAAATGATACAGAAGAATACGTTCCCATCATCAAGTTCAAATCCCACCTATTATAAAAAAAAATAATTATGTTTGCAGCATGTGTGCATTTGGTTCAAGTTGTCTTGAAAAACGCTTTGTTTTGCAAACTTTATTTATCCCAGGAGTCGGTCTTCCTCCTCATTAGCCAATGCCTGGCTACACTGAGCGAATGTGTCAACAAAGTGATATTTAAGTTCCCTTCTTTGGGAACACAGACTAGCTCAACAAGGTAGGGCTGACACATCTGTTACAGTCTTTCAATAATGTTTTGACATGTGTAGATAGATATTTTGTCTTAGCAGCAAGAAGCGTGACTTTACAAGAAGTCTAGAGTTTGTATGTGAAATACTAACTGCTTTGAAGAAATTTGTACTTCAGGGCTCTTTTTAAAAAAAATAGTTCATTTTGAACTTGTGGTTTTATGTTTTGTAAATGTCACTTGCTTTCATGATGTATTTATTCATTAGCCAGCACACCTCAACAGCGAACTCAGTGGGTTTTAGTACCTCACCGTTAATTAGAACTACAAACCTCATACTATATATGAGCATCATAGTTTCCTATTGCTGTTGTAACAAATTTCCACAAATGTAGTGGCTTAAAATTACATGAATTTATGATTTTTACAGTTCTATAGATCAAAAGTCTGGAATGGGCCTCACTGGGCTAAAATCAAGGTGTCAACAGCAGGCTATATTCCTTTCTGGAGGCTCTTGGATAGAATCCACTTCTGGCTTATTCAGGTCTGGGGTAGAAATCAGTTCCTTGTGGCTATAGGACCGGAGTCCCATTTTCTCACAGGCTGTATACTGAGAGCTTTCCCAGCTTCTAGACGCTTCCACACATTCCTTGGCTTGTGGCCCACTTCCTCCGTCTTTAAAGCCAGAGGCCCTTTTCCAGCTGCATTTCTCTCTGACTGCAGCTAGGAAACATTCTCTACTCTTAAATACTAATCATTAGATTAGGTTCACCCACAATGTCTCTCCATCTCAAGATCCTTAACCTTAATCACATCTGCACAGCACCTCTGGACATGCAGGGTGACATTCACAGGCTCCTGGGATTAGAAAGTAGACAGTGCTCTGCTTTACCACAGAGAAGGGTTCCATGTTCAGACAAAACCAAGGCAACCCTTTGGAATGATTTCAGAAGGAAAAGTACCTTTGGAATTAATTCTGCTATCATCCTTTGGTTTATTATTACTGCTACATTCCGAAAAGATAGGACTTTTCTTGACAAAAAGCTCAGTGACTTTTGTTTTGCTCTCTGTTAATTTACTACTTGAATCACTACTCTACATTAGCTAATTGTGTTAAACTCTAATTTAAAAAAAAAATAGGTAGGGGCGCCTGGGTGGCTCAGTCGGTTGAGTGTCTGACTTCAGCTCAGGTCATGATCTTGTGGGTTGTGGGTTCAAGCCCCGCATCGGGCTCGATAGCCTGTCAGCATGGAGTCCACTTTGGATCCTCTGTCTCTCTCTCTCTGCCCCTCCCCCGACTGCACAGTCCCCAAAATAAATATTTTTAAAAAAATAAATAAAATAAAGTAGATTGAGAAGGTCAATGATTATAAAAATTTATAAAAATATTTTTTTCAGGGATTGATACACTTTTGGGTTATAGTCGAGCAACTAACCTTCAGGTGTCACGGTCCTGCTCGGCATATGCGGTCCCGCCCCGTGTGTGGCTCTCCGAGATGGTTTGCCAGTACCTAAACTGGTCTACAACCTGTTCAACCAGACCAGTTTTTACTAATCACATGCTTGGACCTTGAGGCAATGTCAGATTGATAAAGTTCCAAGATCTTCACTCCCAATTTCTATATTTACCTTGCGCAGGCAGCTTATAAGTAATTTGTGCACCAGTACCCGCCTGCGGATCCCACACTGTAGCTCAGGACTAGAGTTTTCCCTGAGTGTCATGAGGACCTCACAGGTTGCTCCCAGTCATCACTCTGGGCAGCCTCAGAGAGGGTGCCCTTGTGGGGTGAGGTCATGGCCACATGTCCATTGGCCTGGGACTCTCTCCAGGGTGTCCCAACATCAGGCACCCCATCCCCCATGGCTCTCCCAGCCCTTGCCTCTCTCCTTTCCTCAGCCGTTCCCTTCGTGGCTTCTGGGTGGGTGGGTATACAAGACCTAGCTGAGGACACTGAGTCCCCACTTCCTGTCACAGCTTTGGGGCTGACACACTGGTTTCCCTTCTGGGCCTCACCCACCCCCAGTAGTCATTATTCTCTCTTCATCCTTAATAGCCCCCACCACCATTCCAGAGATGGCCTCCCGCCAGCCTCCATTAAGGACTCTGAGCACTGGTAGGTTTGGGTTCTTACCGGGAAGGCAGGGCAGTGGAGATGGGGGGCAGGGAGCTCACAAAGTTTCAGAATCAAGAGGGCGCCCCATAAAATGACCCCTACTTACCCAGGTCATTGAGGCAGCAAGGGCTGCAGAGGGACCCAGAGTTCAGGAAGCACAGGGGTGGGAAGGCAGCCTTAAAGTTCCCCAGGAGGGGCCCTTCCCCTAACAGCGCCAGAAGTGTAAGAGTGCGAAGGGATGTCAGAGATGAAGCCGCTTCCAGAATGTGACTGTTTTCACACTTGGGGAGGCGGAGAGCCAGAGAGTGCCCTTCCAGACATGCAGGCATGCTTGCAGAGAAGCCCAGGCCCCCTGACTCCCATTCCAGTGCTCTTCCTGGAGCCAAGAACACCGGCACAGGCACTGAATGGAGCCTGAACCGCAGGTCTGCCTAGTCTTGAGCCATGAGACTTCCTAGCCCCCAGCCCTGCCCCCCTGCAATTGGGGTTTCCCGAGGTTCTGAGCCTCTGTTCCCAGTCCAGCCCAGGTCCCCGGTCCAGCTTTCCTGCCAGCTAGAATAGATGTACTGTCCCTCCAGCTAACTCGGATGCTTTCTCTTTCCCTGACAGCTTCTGCCTCCACGCAGGCCCCCCGGGCTTCCTCTGCCATCAGCACTCTTTCACAGTGAGTTCAGGGTGGGACTCTCACCCGCGTGGCCCTGGCTCAGGGGCCCACAGCGGAGAGCTGCCACCCCAACCTGTGCCCTTCCCCTCTGTCTCCTGTTCTCCAGACAACAAAACTGCACCCTCCACTCTCAGCCCGCAGCCCCCGACACCCTGGTCCCCGTGCTCTGTGGACTCCTTCTGGCCAAGAGCCTGATGCTGTTGGCCCTGGTGGCCCGGTGAGTGGCTTTGGGTTGGGTTTGGGGGAGGACGAAGTCCGTCCCTGGACAGATAGTCAGACAGGGAATCAGCCAGTGAACCCAGAGGCAAGAAAACTGATAGCCAACAGGGCTGTCCAAACTAGACCCTCACTGCATGCTCCCCTCTTCTCCCCCTCCTTTCCTTCCTCCACCCCTCTCCCCTTCTGATTCAGTATCACTGACCTGTATGACCAAAAAGTCCCTCCCACCGCCTTGCAGGAAAGTCTAACCGCACCCAGAGCACAGCCCCTTCCCAAGTCGTGGAGGGAGGGTGTGCACAGGAGGGAGGGTCACGTCCAAGGAGAAGGAAGTGCACAAGGCAAAGGTAGGTGGGAGTGAGGGCAAGGTGTGGGGACAGGGACCCATCAGGCAGACGGCAGGCTTGCTGAAGCAGGGGACAGGCTGTGGGGAGGGGGCAGCAGGGTCAAAGAGCAGATTTGAGTCACTTCCTGTATTTCTTCCCCCTCCCATCTTAGGGTCTTAGGGAGTCCACACGTGCAACACAGAGGGAGGTCTCTGACGCGCCCAGCGGGGTCCAGACCCCAGGCCTCAGGGCCCAAGAAGGACGGCCAGTATCCCTCAGGCTCCCCGGCGGCTCCCCCCTGGCCTCTGAGCCCTTTGCTCCTTGTGAAGAAAAGGCAGAAGAGCCCCTGAACTTGATCCAACACTGTTGGCTACACCCCTCACTCCCATGCCGAGGTTTCCCAACCTGGCCTCCTCCCGAGGTCCAGGCCCACGGCTCGGTCACATGCAGTTGGCATCTGGGCCAGCACCATCCGGGGAGGAGCCGGAAGCCAATGCTGCCATGCCCACCAAACCGGAGCCACCACCGCGGGCACGCCGACTCTTCCCCCATCCCCCACCTTCTCCCCTAGCCCTCCCCTCCTCCCCCTGCTCTCTTCCTCCTCTCCTCTTCTTCTTCCTCCCCCTCTCCCTCCTCCTCCCCCTCCTCCTCTTCCTCTCCCTCCTCCCCCTCTTCCTCGCCCTCCCTCCCTTTCTGCTCCTGTCTGTGGCCCCACAGCTCAGCCAGGATCCCAGGTCACCCCCACCACGTCTCTCTCCATCCCTGTTTGCTCAGCCACACTCTGTCCTGCGTCTCTGCTGCTTCTGCCTCTTCCTCCTCTTCGTCCCCCTTTGAGATCCCCGGCACCTGTACCCAGACCACTCTGCCAGTCCCCTAACTGGCACCTGCCTTTGGTCCCCACCTCCTAGATGGTGCCCCCTTAACTGTCCTTTCTCAACAACACCTCTGTGCATTTTTATTGCACAGAAGGTGGAGTCCAGCATCGTCATTGGGGCCTCAGGCTCCGCCAAGTTCAGCCACCCCTTGTCACCACCACCGTGTCACTATGTACCGCGCTTGCTGCCTTTACTGTCACCGACATGGCTGCAGGCCCTGGAGAGGATCGGGCCCCCCCCCCCCCCCCGTCCTACACATGCTGAGCGGAGGCTCCACAACAGAGACCACCCTGGTCAGACCCCGGGCACTGCCCCTCACGACTGCTGTGGCTGTGACACTTACAAGCTCGATGTCGGACCTTCCTGACGGAGCCTCTAAATTTATCTTTGCTCTCCTGTTCTTCCTCTATTTTTCTTTATTCCTACTTTCTGGGAACATCTCTCGAGGTTACATACCAGTTATTCTATCCAAAGATTTACTATTTATGCTCTCACAGCCTAACATTTCTAAAGGGTCTGTTTGTTCCCAGAATGTTCCTTTACACCATGCGTGTTTGCTTTGGCGATGCCATTTTTTCTTGGCCAGTATTTTTTAAAAAGTGTTTTTTTAAGTATTTAAAAAAGTATTTAAAAAAAAGTTTTAACTTTTGAGGGGTTTTTTTTTTAAAGCCTCGTCTGTTTTCCGTTTCCTCCAAATACCTTTTTCTATCTTTTGTTTTCTCCTTTCGTTGACCACTGTCTTTCCTCAGAACTTTCTGGAAGCCTCCGCTGCTTCTTGGCAGGGCACCGGTATTGAAAAGTTTAGATGTTCAGTGTGTGTTACAGAGATTTGTGGGCTCTGCAGTGATTTGGCAAGGACTGTTATGTGCCCCCCTCCATTTATATGTTCAAATCCGAACTCCCAAGATGATGGTATTAGTGAGGGGAGGGGGAGATGATGAGCTCATGAGCGATGAGCCCTCACCAATGGGACTCTGCCCTTACATAAGAGGCTCCTTACAAAGCTCTCAGGCTCCCTCCACCACGTGAGACTGCGGCGAGGAGACAGCCCTGTAAGAACCAGGAAGGTCTCACCAGACACGGAATCTGCCCGCACCTTGGTCTTAGACTTCCCAGCCTCCAGAACTGTAAGAAATAAAAGTTGCTGAAGTCCCTCAGTCTGTGGCATTTTTGTCGCAGCCACTCATGTTGACCAAGACAAGCACGGCTCCATGCTTTCTCTTTGACAGCTCAGTGTCTCTAGAAAGGTGCTTTCAGCTCTCCTCCTGGGGGGATAAGCCTGGTTCTAGACACCAGCTGTGGCCCAACAAAGGGGCCCCTTTGCCCAGCTTCCGCTTTCATCACTCAGGCCCAAGGTGGAGCACTCCGTCCCTCTCCAGGGCCCCTGGTGCCCTGGGAAGGCATCTTTGCGACACACCCTCCACACCCTCCACACGCAACCTGCGGGTTCTCTGAAGGGTGAGAGAGAGAGAGGAGGGAGAGGAGGGAGAGAGGATGTGGGCAGCTGACCCACTCACTCACTCTGTCTCACGGGAGACACAGAAGCTAGGAGCCAGACCGCTTCTCAATCCCAGCCCCCACCTGTAGTCTGCGCCCTGAGCTCCCTCCCCCGCCTCCCATTCCTAAGGCTTCCTGGGTTTCTAAGGTAACAATCAACTTGCTTCTTATTTCTCCCCCCCGCCACATTTCTCTGGTCCATTAAAGTCATCCAACTGTTACTGGCTTTAAGACTTCCACGGAGTTCTGTCTTCACCCTGAGGAGGGATATATAATTCTTGCCCATTTATCACCACTTGCCCCACACAGCTTGCCCATCTCTTCAGCAGGAGCAGAGGGACCTCATATTTTCCCTCCAATCACCCCGCCCAGCTCCCACCACCACGGGCAGGAATGAGCGAGATCCCAGCTCTCCACTTGCTCCTGTAAAGACTCCTGGCCCCTTCTCCAGCCCCCATCACAGCCAATGCCCGGACCCCCAGAGCTGCGGCTTCATTCCTTCCCTGCCCACCCCATTCACAAAAGCCCAGGGCTCCTTGGTCCGCCCTCATCACCCAGGATGGCATCTCCAAAAGATCTTATGAATTCATCAAATGAGCCCCATTTCCCACTCTTCCCCAAATCCATACGTCTTTTTGCTCTGCCCTCTGAAATATGAGCCCTCATGGGCTCAACCTTTCTGAACGTCACCTTCCTACTTTCACAGAAATCTGCCCCTCCTCTGCGAACACTGCTCTCTCTGGAGTTCTGGCCCACGGTGGCACTTCACTCTCCTTCACCGCTAAGCCTGGGGCAGGGGGGACGGTTCCTCTTCATTCCTCACTGCCATTTCCTACCTTCTTATCCTCCCTAAAGCAGCCCCACAATCTGATTTCCTGCCACCAGACTATACCATAGACCATGTTCATCAGTGTGACATCTCTATATAATCAGGAGTCCCTCTCTTCTCACTGGCCTTAACTCCTGGCTCACTGTGACCTTCCGTGGCTCCTGTCATAATCCTTGGTGAACTGAGGCTCATTTAGACTCACAGATGATCCTTTCTAATCCCGGGCCTCTTGGTTCCTGACCTCCTTTCCCGCAATGATCTCGCCCCTTTCTCTGCCTCGCCCACCCATTCAGACAGTCAGCAGGAATAGCTGCTTCCCTCCTTGGTCTCAGCTCTGAGCACTCACCTTCCAGCCCTCAGGCTCCTTAGAGGCCATCACCTTTCTCTTTCTCTTTTTAAAGTCTCAACATGGGATCTCACGGTCACCTTTGGTTTCATCTTTAGACCCTATTTTCCTGAGAACATTCTGGATTTCATTTTAGCCTCATTCACTGCCTAGAGATGCCGATAGTTTTCAAAGCCGTCAGGTTCCAGCTCCTTCGTGTTGAATAACCCTGCCTATAGCTTACGTCCCTGCTCTCACACTTTCCAGTAAACCCCGAGAAGAAGCCAGGCAGCATCCTCAACACTTCACCTGGCGATCTCAGCTACACCAACCCAGTTCACTAGGTACCCTTTCTACTCTCCATATTACTGCAGATGGCAGTGTCGCTAAGCCTTCTGCCACTATGTAGCAAGGATCCTCTTTCCTTCTCCGCTCCTGGCTAAGACAATTTGGAGAATGTTTGTAAGGCCTGTATCCGTAGAAAAAGGAGAACTGATAATATTCACGTTACTAAGCTACTCGGAATACTAAGTAGGATGATACACTCATAAAGCCTCTGACATACGGAGGACACTGAACAAAGGCTGAGCTTCAGAGGGAGTGGGGCATCGCAGAAAGAGGACTCGCCTGTTACAACAGAGGCAACTCAGAGCTGATCGCAGCTGGAGGGACGGGTAACCTGTAGGGAGTAGGCTCCAATCTACTTGGTGGACGGCAGAGGGAACACGGGAAGGAATCAGGTTGAGGAAACTGACCAACCTGGGCTGAAAAGACATTCATATTCACTAACACCCCTCTTGGAGCCAACAGTGGCCAGCGTCAGCCTTCCTCCTTAGCAGGAGGCTATGGTGGCCAACCCAGTGTAGTGGGACAGGGAAGGGGTTGCCTCTGAATCTGGTGCCATTCTGCAGCAGTTCCTGATGCCTTGTTCTGGCTGCAGGTGGAAAATGCACTGGAAAACTCTGCTGGAACTCAGGAGCCCAGATGCCGGTAAAGCCACCTGCCTCTTTCAGCAGGTCATTGACCTTCTCTGGACCCATTTCTTCACCTGTAGGGATCTACATAAGCCCAGTCAGTGGAGGGACACAAGGTGAGCAAGGCTTAGAAATAAGATGCCGATTAGTTTTCTCGGCTCAGCCCTGTGTAAGCTTGGGCAAGTCACTGCCCCTCTCTGAACTTTGGTTTTTTTCTCTGGAAAAGGAAGGGGATGAAGATGAGTTCTGAAGGCCCTTCCACAGGAGGCTAAACTGATGAGCATGATACAGACACTTTTCTGTGCCCAACTAGTGTTGCCAGGGACAGAGCACCAGGGGATACAGATAAAGGAACCAACAGCCCTTGAGCACAGCTTCAAGTCCATAGGTACAGGGGCCCCTGTGGAAGATTCCGGTGGAGGGTGAGAGAAGGAGTGTTGACGTAGGAGCAGAGTTGGACAGGAGGTGGCTAGGGAGGGATGGAAGAAGCAGGACACTAGTGGGCATCAGGGAGTGGCAGAAGGATCCCAGCAAGGATGCACGTGATATTGCAATTTATAATAAGTGTATATTGTCATCTTTATCCATGATTCCTGCTCACCGCTGCTAAAATCCTTGGAATTTCCTGAGCAATCAAAGCCTCATTTGCTCCTGAGATGGAAGCATCTTTTGTCATATTTGGTCTCTTGTTCTTCAGTTCCCAAAATGTCTTCAGAACCATAAGGGTGGCATCGGTGTCCTGTTACTCATAACAAGCCACTTGCCACCACCTCTGAGTTTATGTTAACAGGGTAACGTTTGGAAATCTCAAAAGGTTGAGGGCTAGTTGCTAGGGAAACCAACCATGTTAGAGGGTCGGAACTTCTAATCCCAACCCCTGATTCCCCGGGAGGGAAGAGAGGCTGAAAGTTGAATCAATCACCAACTGCCAATGATTTAATCAATTGTGCCTATGTAACAGAGCCTAAAAAAAAGAAAGAACGGGGCTTGTGAAGGTTTATTTTGGGGAACCAGGATGCTCCCACATGCTGCAGTTCTGGGTCCCAAACGCCACAGGGACAGAAGCTCCTGCGATTGGAGAAGGAGACCCACCAATGGAGCTCACCTATGTATAGCTTCATCTGTCTGTTGATTCGTACCCTTTTTTACCCTATGTAATGGACTGGCAATCCTTTGTAATAAACCAGTAATCTAGTGAGTAAACAAGTTTCCTGAGTTCTGTGAACTGCTCTACGAATTAGTCCAGCCTCAGGAGGGGCTGTGGGAAGCCCCGATTTGTAGCACAGGACCTATGACTGGCATCTGAAGTGGGCGCAGTCTTGTGGGACAGAGCCCTTCACCTGCGGGATCCGATGCTAACTCCGATCTATGCTGTCAGAGCCGAGTTCCATGTGTGGGACACCCAGCCAGTGTCCATGAATAACTGTGTGAATTGCTGGGTGGTATGGAAAAAGTACACATCTTAATGAGTAACTTTGCTATGAAGTCGCATAAGTCTTTGGCGTAGCCGTGACTTCAAGTACTCCCGAGAGAGAGAGTGCAGAGTCCCAGGAAGGCGCTGAAGCCCCCTGTCCTGTCTCCACTTACCCTTAAGAGTCTGGTAGGGTGCTGGTATGTAGGGACTGTTCGGGCTCCCAGGTTTGGGGTTTTTCCCTCAGAAATCCGCCTCCTTTTTCCAGTCCTCAGCATTCCTTCTGGGCTCCTCCAAGGACCCGGATCCATACCAGGCCCAAGATGGGGAATTCTGGGGGAAGTCAGCCCACTTGCTTGGGCAGACCAGAATTTCTGTTCATAATGGAAGTGCTGAACATAGTGGAGAAATTTGAATACAGACTGGAAAGTACAAGCTATTAAGAAATTGGGGGCAGGGGGTTCTTTTGTCTTGTTTTTTATTTTATTTACTTATTTATTAGTTTGAGAGAGACAGAATGAGAGAGCAGGGGAGGGGCAGAAAGAGAGGGAGAGAGAAGATCCCAAGCAGGCTCCCCGCTGTCAGCAAGGAGCCCAATGCCCAGCTTGAACTCACGACCCGTAAGATCATGATCTGAGCCAAAATCAAGAGTCAGAAGCTTAGCCCACTGAGCCACCCAGGCACTGCAAGAAATTATTTTTAATTACATTGGCTATGACAATGTTAATTTGCTATGTAGAAAGAAACTCTTTTTTTTTTCTTCAGTGCTGCATACTGAATTATTTAAGGGTGAAATGTCAGGATATCTGCAATTTGTTTAAAAATACTTCCTCATAAAAAATACAGTGAGTTAAAAATAAAGAAGTGGAGGGGAGCACCTGGACGCGGCTCCAATGACAGTGTCTGCCGCAGGCACATCTTTCTCCTCTCTGGAAGTTAGATAGATGCCCCCCCCCCCCGACAAACCCCCATTCCCATGGAGAGATTACAAAAAAGCACTCTGATTAGAAAAATGCACCCACTTCTGGGGCTTGACTTGGCCCCACTGAGACCCCTGGGCAGCCCCGATGACTGATGTGCCCGAGGCTTCCACCCAGGTGTCATCAGATGACAGCAAATGCAGCCACAGTCCCAGCAATGTGCTCACGTCTCTGTGAATCCCCGAACTTGACGTCGGTGGGCCCATCTCTGCAAGGGCTGCGCCTAGAATTGCACATACCACACCAGGTTTCTTATCTTTTGTCTTCTCTCTTCTTTGTACATTGTTTATAAACATCAACATTTTCTTGATTCTAAAAGCCCTGAAGTTCATGAAAGGAAACTTCATTCGATTCTTTCATCTACTTATTGTTCAAGTGACATTTGGCAAGCCACGGGAGGTTGGGGGCGCAGTGGGTTCTGAGATCCAGCGCCCCAGGCTGTTTCTGCCCACCTGAGCCGCATCCCCTCCCACCAGCCCCTCTGAGGACCGCTGCCCAGCCGCCTCTGCCCCTTTGCTCTCAGCTTTCCTCTCCTCACCTTCGCCCCAGCGCCTCCCTGCACCCCCCATCCTCCACCCCTCCCCTCCCCCGTCCAGTGCCCACAAAACCTCCCAGGGTGGAAACGCATCACTGGCCCACCACCTAGACCTGGATGTGACGCCTTTGGAGTCAAATGGGACTTAGGACTGTGGTCAGGACCCAAATGACCCTCTGGCCCTGTCATGTCTTTAGCCTGTCCTTCTAGGGGAGAGGGGCAAAACCAGTACCCAGGAAATGAGAGTTTGCAGAGAGACAACGTGCAGAGAAGAGAAAGAGTAGGACAGTGCTGAGTTGACCTCAGTTTCCTCTGGGGATGTCTCAGCTCCTCCCCTGTCCACCCACCTCTCTGGCCTCTCCCATATGGGGAGGGGAAAGCTGGGCACAGGGGGGCCGAGAGCCTCAATAGGGGTGGAGAAGAGATGCTGACACCTCTCAGGACCCAGAGACCATCCATGTGCCTTAGGGGAGAGGTTTTCCTGGCCCCCAATTCCCACCAGCCTAGGTTTCCCACATCCCCAAAGGAGGCCTTTGTCCTCAATCCTTCCTTCTTGGGGTGCCGGGGCGCCCTGATGATTCAGACCCATTTCCTAGGGACCACATTATTTCCTCAGCTCCTCCACTCCCATCCAAGAGCTCAAGGAGAAGGGCAGCTTGGCTGAGAAGACCTCTTCCCCTACTATTGTTGCTAAGCCACCTCTACCTGGCCTACCCATGCCCTTGATGGAGATGAGGGCTTGGGGAAAAGGAAAGAAAAGGTGAGGGATGGGAAGGTGGGGCAAGGAGAAGCGACCCTGCAGCCAGAGGGGTGTGTTCTGGCTATGGGCACAGAACAGGCTGCTCCCCTCCCACAGCCCCGTGGCGCCCCTGACCTGAGGCCTTCTATAGCAGGCTGCTGGGGAGAGAGACTGGAGCCTGAGGGAATGAGAAAGGTTCCTCTGGGCAGAGAGTCTCAGCAAATCTCTGTGACCCATCGGTTGATGGCACAAAGCAAGACTGAACTCAGAAGACCATGCCTGGCTTCCCTGGCACCCTAACTGGGTTCCGAGGGGCAAGCTCAGGCACACTTATGGGAAACTCAGTGCTCCCTGCAGCTGTCCGCATTTTCACAGTCATTCTGGGCATTCCTAGGTGAACATCTACCTTGAGGAAATGGGTCTGCACAGGCTTCAGTCTTCTGGGAAGGAATACTACTCACCCACCCTTTCCCCAGAGGACTACTGTCTCCAAACAGGTCCCCCACCACAGAAGCCAGAAAAAAAAGCCTTGACAGATTTCCTACTTTAAAAGTCATTTTTTGTTGTTAATACAGAAACAATAGACACAAAATGGAGTCACTTGTGCTAAGCCCCACATCAGCAAACCAAGACTTACTATCTAACCGAACTTCAGTTTCCACCCCTCCTAGCAACCAGTCAATATAGATTTACCTGGTCAGCACAGGTGAGCACTGCTTGATAGACCCCTGCCTTCTGCCACAGAAAGGTGACCTTGCCTGAAACTCTCTCTGCTAGAAACTTCCTATTTCTGCCCCCTTCTGCTTATAAAAGCATTTTGTACATTGTATGAAGCTTCTGAAAGCTACTTTCCAGCTGCTTAAAGGGGATGCCTCCTAATTCGTGAATCACTGAATAAAGCCAATATCTTTATATTCACTCACTTGAATTTCATTTTTTTAAACAATATATGATAAAGTATGATAAAGGATACCACAAACAATATTTTTTGAAGTGATAGGATAGAGAAAATAATGTTATACAAAGATTCATATCCAGAGTGTATAAAGAACTTATAAAACCAATAAGAAGAGAGCCACAGCTCACTAGAAGAAACAGAAAAGGATACAAACTGGAATCTAAAATTAACACCCAGGGAAAATTCATATGTGGGAGACAGGATCAATGCTATCAGTACATGGGAAAGTGCAAATTAAAACAATGGAGGGAGGATCGTTTTTCACCTATTAAATTAATAAGAATTTTAAAGATTGGCCATTTCCAGTGGTGATAAGGTTGTGTAAAAAACTGATGGGAATATAAATTAGTGCATTTTTTTTAGGAAATCAGTTTGTCCAGATTTATTAAAACATTACATGCACATCCCTTTCCTGCAAACGAGTTAATCATCTCTCGGGTTTGTGTGGCAGAATAGAATCAGGCATGCACAGAGCGGTCTATATAAGGTTGTTTGTCACCACGTTCTACGGAACAGTGAAAGTCTGAGATAAATTAAAGTGGCCGTGAATAGGAAAGGAAGAATAAATGATGCTTCATCTCTAGGATGGGGTACTGTGTGGCAGGTTACAAGGAATGAAACTGATCTGTGTATACTGACGTCCATGGACAAAAAAAAAACAAAAAACAAAAAAACAAAAACAAGCTACTGAATGACACATGTCATGATTCCTTGTTACTGTAAGTTAAAAAGATACAAAGATAAAGCTATAGCCATAGATACAGTGTGTGTGTGTGTGTGTGTGTGTGTGTGTGTGTGTGTGTAAAACCAGGGAATAATGTGTGCAAGGATCCTGTGCTAACAGGGGTCAAATCTGGGTAAGGTGTGTGTGATAGGGGGACTTTCACATTTTACTGGGCATTCTGTATTGTTTGACTATTTTTACAATAAAGTGTACTTGAGTAGGATAAGATGGAAATTTTTTCCTGACTGTTGAAACCAGTGGACAACGAGGAAGACAGAGGTCATGGCAGATTGGTACTACCACCCCTTGTCCCCAGGAAGGCAGGGGAGGGATGAGTGTATCTTGTCCCTACCATGTCCCATGGTGACAGGATGGTCTCAGTGTCCCCTGGGGGGTTGGAGGGCTCATCTTCCACATGGCATGTTCTGGTAAGTTGCCTAACACTTTAAGTGTGTATTTGTTTCGTCCCCTACATCATCCAGTGAGCTTAACATGACCAATAAAAGCCCTGCTCCACATCCCACCCCTGACTTCTCACTTACTGTACAACCAGCAAGTGGGTGTACTTTATGTTCACACAAAAACCCAGACACTAATGCTCTTAATTGCCCCAAACTGGAAACAGTCCAAAGGTCCTTCCACTGACCAACTGTAGTGTTTCCATACAATGGACTACACCTCAGCAATACAAAGGAACACAAACTACCAAAGCACACACAAACAAAACTGATAAATCTCAAGTGCATTCGAAGAAGGGCCGGGTTCCAAAGGCTAATGCTTCAATTAAAAAAAAAAAAAGGGGGCGCCTGGGTGGCTTAGTCGGTTAAGTGTCCGACTTTCGCTTAGGTCATGATCTCGCGGTTCGTGGGTTCGAGCCCCTCGTCGGGCTCTGTGCTGACTGCCAGCTCAGAGCCTGGAGACTATTTCAGAGTCTGTATCTCCCTCTCTCTCTGACCCTCCCCTGCTCACGCTGTCTCTCTCTCTCTCTCTCTCTCCTAGAAATAAATAAAAAATATTTTTAAAAAAAAAGGCTGCATACTGCATGACTGCATACAACAGACATCACGGAACAGACAAAACTATTGGGACAGAATTCGCTGACCGAGGGACTTGAGGGTGGGGAGAAGTCTGTCTATATCTGGCTTGTGTTGATGGTTTCATGACTCTGATTTGTCAAGCTCATAGAACTGTACACTCTGTGCATAAACCATACCCCCCAATTTAAAAAAAAAAATAAAACAAAACACAGACATTTGTCTCACGCCAGAGGAAGTGCTCGCTGCAGCCTCCTCTGACCTCTCCATGACCGTGGACGTAGAACACATCTAAGCCTGGGCTTCCCTTCCTCCTGTTCTAACCTTTATTCCTCTTGTTTTTCCTCTTCCTTCTCTCTTTTTCCTTTACCAGTGGAAAGTTCTCTTCAAATGGAACCTACATGCACCCCGTGCAGACACCTGTTGGAGTGATGTGAGGTTTTTTTCTGAATGTTTATTTATTATTGAGAGAGAGAGAGAGAGAGAATGCACAAGTCAGGGAGGGGCAGAGAGAGAGAGGGAGACACAGAATCTGAAGCAGGCTTCAGGCTCTGAGGTGTCAGCACAGAGCCTGTTGTGTGGCTCAAACTCACGGACCACAGGATCATGACCTGAGCCGACTGAACCACCCAGGCGCCCCGGAGTCGTGTGGCTCTTGATGAAGAAGGGTAAGTGCCTCTTTCAACAGAAGTTTGTCCCTGTGTCTTTCTTCTGCCGATGTAAAAACCGAGCCCCCCACCCCTCCATTGCATCCATGCTCTGTGCTCCCAACCATCCTACAACGTGGCTTTCAGACACCATTCCAGGAGGCACTGAAAGGGGCTGTCATGATGAACAGCTTACAGTAACCATTCTAGAGTCTTCTAACTGCAGTCTGGTCATGGGATAACAAAACAGAAAGATGAAGGGGGAAAATCTGTCCTTTCCAACAACCTGTCCACTAGGCCCTTCTCCCAACCTTCTCATCGGAAGAGGTTCATGAGGCCCTGAGTCCGGGAAGAGAGACTGGTTTTTCAGACTCACCCTGAGCTTTGCCATGATATAGACACGGCCTTAACAAGCTTCGTCCTTCGGCATCTTGTGCAACTATCTCAGCAGGAACGTGTCTCTCAAGACTTCAGCGATTCGGAAATTCCACTTCCGGAATGCGTCCCACAGATACACATATGTGAAGTGGCGTGCACAGATGCCTGTTTACCACAGCGCCATGTGTAGCCCCAGAAGACTGACAACAGTATCCAAGCTATTACATATCCACTTGATAGCATTGTCTGCATCTCTGCAGGCTGAGGAAGTTCCCTACCTACTGATAGAGACTTTTCTGCAAGCTATTTTGCGTTTGGTTAGGTTCACAATTCCGTCTATAATAGGCTGGCTTTTGTGTTTCTAAAAGTGTGGAAATTAAGAATTTATACTTATATACTTTCTTTTAATGCTTGAAAAAAACCGATAACCCCATAATAGTGGTTTTTGGGGTAAGATAGAAGGTGAGTGGTGGGGAACAGTGTGGGAGAGAGATTTTCCACTTTTTAGATATACTTTTATCTATTTGTTTGAGCCACTGAAGTTTTTCAAAGTTAACTTTTCAGAAATGTACTACACTTCCATGTCTGGGAAAATGGGGTGAATGTATTTGACTCTCTTCCTGTAAACTCCTGGACGTTGTGTATATAAAACAAAGACAAAAACGACTG